TAATGTACTTACGAAATTAAATTCAATACCTTTGATTACTTGAAGGCATTTACGCGTTTAAGTGTTGTGTATGGTAGAACCTACATGCTAAACAAACCAAAATGCAAGGTAAGTTTGTGATGATACGTTTATTACATTTTTGCATGCTATGAGGAATATGTCACAAGGTGTTACTAAGTGTTTATGAAATTATAATTTCTTTGTTTGGTAATACAATGGATGTGTCACATTAGCAGAGACAGTTATGCTGACAAGATTTTTCAAATCTTTGGGGGTGAGGGCTATTTTTGATACAAGTTGCAGTAGAGACTTGATCCTGGTTGAATCTTGTGTTGAATTCATCACAAGATATAGACAAAATCAATGCTAGATGATGAGAGGAGCAAGTCAAGCCTACCCATGATTGCATCTGCATACCCAGGTATAGAAATTCAACTTAGTTTTGGCCAATTGTTTCTGTGAAGCACATATATTTGGATGCTAGACAAGACTTGGCCAATGCATAATGACACAACAGTATTCAAATCTAAGAATAAAACTCAGTGTAGTGTGTTGAAAATTATGTAAGGTATTAACTCAATGTAGTGTATTGAACATTATCAGTAACTATATTTGACATGTGTTTGAACTTACATAGAAGGTATGAAGATTTGTTGGATGATATGATTATTTTAATTCTGGATTTAGAAGTAGGAAATTGAACTGGAATTTCTGGAAGTTGTATTTACTACGATCCATGCGTTTCACAGACATAGCTCCTCATATCTGTTGTGATTTATTCTATCACTGTATTTTCAATTTTGAGTTGGAAATATGGGATGAAGGAGCATGATTACTTTTTAATAGGCTTTAGTGATGAGTCCTGAGTTGATGAGGAAATATACTTACATATTCATTATTGGTGTGAACATATGCAAGTTGGATATGTTATGTTGAAAAGCAACATGGATCCTTTGCCCTACCTTACATTTCATCGGTGAAGAGTCCCCAACAAACAATTGAAACTATCATAAAGCGCTATGTATGCGAAGATATGAAACTCAGGTTGTAATTTAACTCCAAATAATAAATTGAGAGGGGGAAAACACAAATGTACCCCAAAGTTGTGGGGGTTACCCAATCTTTTGATTATATCTTACAACCTATGTTATGTTTGGCATGCTACGATTCCTAGAGTAACATGCTTATTGAAATGCTCAAATATTTGTTTCAACAGGCCAGAAGTATATCATGTCACAGTTATGCCTTGTTATGATAAGAAGCTAGAGGCTTCTAGAGATGACTTTGTTTTTCAATTAGAACCCCATGCTGAAGGGTATGAAGGTGAAGATAACTTGATTTCGGAGGTAGATTCAGTACTGACAACTGGAGAGATTTTAGAATTGATTCAGGTTAGAAAATTTTATGCATACCTGCATACCATCATTTTTTTGTGTGAATTCTTTCACTTTTAATATTGATTCATGTTTGGGGTTCAATCTTCCGGTCAAAAGAAGTTGATTTTAAAAGCATAGAAGAAGGTTCTCTGGATAAACTGTAAGAAACTTGCAACTGTTCCCTTTGCTTAAGTTCTCTTGATTGTCAAACAATGATGTTCTGACACAGTGTGGTGCCTGCAGGTTAACAAATGTTAATGAATAAGGACACCTTTACGGGGTTCGTGGAAGCTCTGGAGGTTTTGCAGAAACAATATTCTGATAGGCTGCTAAAACACTTTTTGGAAGACATATTGATGGCCCTTTGAACTTTAGAAACATTAGAAATATTTATAGTTATTAGTGATATTTGTTCAATATTTATAGTTATTAGTGATATTTGTAAATATTTTAGTTATTAGACATATTGGATTTATCATGTTGGTAGAAGAACCAAGTGCGACTGCGTTACTTGTAAATATTTATAGTTATTAGTGATATTTGTAAATATTTTAGTTACTAGACATATTGGATTTATCATGTTGGTAATTTGCTACATCTTTATTTTTAAATATTTGTAGTTATTAATAATTTTATAATGACAATTATATATCAGCAACCATCAATCCTTATCAAAAGATCTAAGATATGAATGGATTTACCCGTGCGGTCGCACGGGTCTTCTACTAGTTTTATGTCAAGAAACAGTCACAACTTTTTTCTTCTCAAGATCCTTTAACCAAATGAAGTGATTAATAAATGAGAAAAAATAAATAGAAAAAAATAAAAAGCTTTTATATATATATAGCACCACAACGTAAACAACAAGAACTCTAGGGTGTAATCTGAGTGGTACATCTCTAACATACGGTAGGTAACTTTGGTTCATATAACTTACTACACCAATTTCATATTAAATATGATCACTCTAGAGCTAATTCATATAATTTATTATACCAATTTTAATGCATCACATCTATGATGTTAATCCAAAATTTCTTTTTAATTTTTCTTAAAACTTTTGAAATATGCGAGATTGTTGTAAATTTTAATTATATTTCAAATATTTTAAATAATTTGTCTTAAATTTTTAAGTGAAAAATATAAAAGAATAATCTTAAATAAAATTATTATATTTATTTTATTTATGATTTATAACGGTTTGACTTGGTCAAATAACTATAATTTATTAATTTGATTTGACTTTTTATAATGGTTTGACTTGGTCAAATAATTATAATTTATTAACTTAATTTGACATAGTCAAATTTTTTTCTCCTTTTCTCTTTTTTATCTCAAATATAACAACTTTTCTACTTTTATAAAAAGAGAATATATATATATATATATATATATATATATATATATATATATATATATATATATATATATATATATATATATATATATATATATATATATATATATATATATATATATATATATATATATATATATATATATATATATATATATATATATATATATATATATATATATATATATATATATATATATATATACTTCTTTTTAATTTTTTCTAGTTACATCTTTTGGTCACTATGTTTTATTGTTGTTCTGATGTCTCGAATTCATGATTAGAATCTAAAAAGAATTTGTTGAATTCTAGAGGATTTATCATTATGAGATGGATAAATCTTTAAAAACAATGTACTTACACACCTATGATTTATGTAATAGTTTACTATTTTGTAGGTTTAATGTTTGATGGTGGTAAAATTTCTACGACAAAATATGCAGATGAAAAATATTTGAAGGGCTTGAAAAAAAAAAACTTAGGGACTAGAAACAAAATTTACAAAATTTTATATATCCTTCCCCGCTTTATTCATTTTTTTCCGTATATTTTTAATGACTAAGAGTACACATTTGATTTTATTTTTATAGTTTTTCTAATTGAGGTAATTAAATGATATTTTATTTTTTAATTATATTAACTTTTAGAGTAGAGTAATTAAATTCTAATTAATAAATTTTAAATTTTATATAAATTTGACTTTTTAATCTTTCGACTATTTTGATTTTAATTAATTAAATTATTTTTTCAAGTTATAAAAAATATTTTTAATTAAAATTATTTTATAAAGAGAAAGTGAGATATGCACCTATTGTCTAAAATAATTTTACACTCTCAATCAAAGACCACCATGTATTCCGTTACATTATACTATAAATTTTAAATTAATAGTATGACACGATAGATTAATAAATTTTTATTAGATAATAGTGTAAAATTATCTTACACTATCAATACATATCAATTAGACTTTTATATAAATTAAAATATTTGCATAAATTATATAAAAAAACTTAGTTTTAAAATAAGTAACAAAAAGTAAAAATAATAATAAATAAAGAATTAAAAGTGCATTTAAAATCCGAAAAAAAAAAAGTAGTATTTGAGAGTAAAAAGTTCTGAATGAAGTCACGTGTTAGTTCTTTCCTCCCATAACCGAATGAAGTCACGTGCTAGTTCTTTCCGTTCTATTCGCCATTTTCTCTATCCATTCATCTCTTTCCTCAACCATACTCATAAATCACCAACACTCGTTTATGTCACTGCTCAAACTCGTTCTCTCCCAAACCCTTAACTCGTTCTCTCCCAAACCCTTAACTCGTTCTCTCCCAAACCCTTAACTCGTTCCTTCGCTCATTCATTCCTTCGCTCATTCATTCCTTCTCGCTCCATACCAATTTCTGTTCGTTTAATCGCAAACATCTCTCAATCTTGCTCGTCGTATCTCTCCGATCGCCGCCGTGCCTCACTCTCTGATCTGCGCACTAACATTTCTGTACGGTAACAAATTTCCCAACCCTAATTTTTATATTCTTAATTTCTCATATCACACATTATTATATGATTTTCTCTCTGTTGATTAATTCTGCTTCTGCTCGTGTGGTTTTTTTTACTTCATTTTTGTTCTTTCGGTTCTTCTATTTTTTTTATCATGCAAAAAAATTGAAAAATAAAGATTAAATTCTATTACTGATGATTGTTTATGATAATAAGGTGTGTTCATGAAATTCTTTACTCTTCTTTCTATCTAATCTATATGTGAAAACCTGAAATTCTCTTCTGTTAGAAAAGTGTAACATCACCATTTATTTTCTTACAATGAATGAAAAGAAAAATTGAAATTCGAACTGGAATATCATTCAAATTGAAAGACTAAACAAAATCAAACTCTTGCAATTAGATTAGAAGTTGATTAATTGAAATAGGGTTTCAAAAGTACTTCTGGTTTCTTTTTCTTGTATTCTTTATTATTGTTTTGATATTATATGTGTTGATTCTATATGAGCTTCCTTTACATGAAATAAAGACCATGTGTTCTTTGTAATTTTCTTTGGAATTTATCATTTATGGTGTTCATACTATAGAATGATAGTTTTTAATGTTCTTCAGCCTTAATTTCACAGATTGAAAACGTGTTCCGTTTCATGTCTGAAACATATAATTACATCTAATTATTTTCATTTTTTCAATTTATTACCGGCATTGTGCTTTGTAGGTGACTACATTACAAGAATCTTAACTCACTTTGACATCAATAAACAAGCTCAATGGACAATATGGTTGATTCTCTAAGTAGTGCCTATGAAGATTTTGTTGCTGCAGCAACAACTTTTCTTGAAGCCAAAGAAACTTCCGGTGACCTTAAAGACGCAGCAACAGAGACAGCCCTTCGAAACTTTAAGCAAAAGTGGGAATTGTTTAAAGTAGAATGTGATCAAGCCGAGAAGTTTGTGTTTTCTGTGAAAAAAAAGAGAAGAGCAGAGTGTTATTTACATAGTCGGACGAAAGTAAATATTTAGTCGGACTATGAAAATTTTCAAACTGATTTTGTATGTGTGTACAATGGAGGCATATGAAACAAAGTAACATGTGAGAATCATCTTGATTGAGTGATGGATAGGTATACTTTTTCTTAGCGTGCTAAGGTCTATGCCCTGGTGCTCATTGGTGTAGCTGCTTTTCTGAACTATTGATGCTCAGCACTCTTAGCTCATATACATGTTCCTTTTAATCCACCAAAATTTCATTTATATTTCTCTATTAATTGTTTATTAATTTTACCATTTATTTCTGAGTGGAATACAATGCACCACTCATTGTATGTTCTCTTCAGATTTATTCTGATTTTGCTAATGTCTGGTTTTTATGAAACCAAGAGGAATTTATATATGTTGGGTATGGTTTATTTTAACTGTTTGAGGGTGATTCTCATTCAACTTTCCAGGGCATGAGGTCTATGCACTCCTCACGAGCACAATAGAGCTTCCCTGATATTTGAACATTTAGACTCCAATTATAGTTACACATTGATACAGAAAAAGATACAATGTGGGAGTGTGACTATATCGGGTGTTTGAATAAGTGACTGTTAACTGGGTGCTTGAATAAGTGACTGTTAACTGGGTGCTTGAATAAGTGACTGTTAACTTTCAATAATAGAATATGGCATCGGCTGATTCGATGTCTATTTTGAACAAAATTATTTAGTACATTGTCAATGGATTTGATTTGTTTGTGTGGTGTTGGTGTTCTTTGGTTTGGGGTGTATTGATTTCTTGATTTGTGTCATAATTTAGGTGTCCCATTGTTACCTTTCTGTTCTGATTGTTTTAGACTTCATTGTTAAGCTTTTGTTGGCATTTTGGTTGTATCTGGTAGGACCTTTGTTCCATTTAGACTGGCATATCTTATGCTTGTCTATCATTTTTGTTAATATAATTTAGCCTTTTCAAAAAAATTGTAGATAAGCTGATAACTTCAAAATTATATAATAATTTAAAATATTATAAATGTATCATTATAAAATTATATTGTCTTTCTAATCACTGTTAAATAATTTAAACTAAAAAATTTTATTTTTCCAATTAAATCAAATACTTTTATTTTATTTTTAACCTACCCAACGTGTTTTTAATAAAGTGGTTTCTCTTCTTCATTACCTATACCATTAAAATTGTTATTTTTCTTTTTAAAACTTATTTTTTAGCTTAAAAAAATATGGCTCGAATGTAAATTTAGGTATTGGAATTTCGTTCAACTCATTTTTTAAATCCATTAGCTGAGAAACAATTCAATAGGGGCAAGAAAAAATTGGGCAAGCGTCATCTCAAGTCGTCTGTCTCAAACCCATGTTTATTGCCCAATCCATTTTGCATCTCAGGTCGTCTGACCCAAACCCATATTTACTGTCCAATCCATTTCGCTAACTTGTGGCGGAAAATGTGCATACAAAAAGTCAACTAAGTGGACCCAAACCCATATTTACTGCCGAATCCATTTCGCTAACTTGTCGCGGGAAATGTGCATACAAAAAGTCAACTAAGTGTAGCATGAGAAGAGGAAATTATTCTCCATATAACGGAGGAAGAACCAATTCCCCTCCTCCGACGAATTTGTTGGGGAATTAGGAGAAATTATTTATTCCCCATAATCTGACCCAATAAGCCTCGTGTGTGTGTCTGTGTATTTCTGATGATTTAGAAAGAACATTTACTAATTTTACAAAATTTAGCATACAATGCCTCTTTCAACCATGCATGTTAGCAAACTCTCTCCTTATTGTATTTCACAAGTACAATTGACGGCGATCGTGGAGCCTTAGTAAAACTAATCTAGACCACATTCACATCTAATTTTCAACCGCCTCAACCACCTTATTCAACATGGTGACACAATGAGGCTCTAACACAACTACCAGCATCGACAACACGCGACCAGGAAACCCTAGCAGAGATGCAGACTGTATGAACAAGCTACATTACTCCAACCAGGCTTTGGAGGCGAATATTGTAACCCTCAAAGAGCGACAACATGAAGACGTCTAGTTATAAGACAAGATACTAGACCCTAATCTCTCTCTCTCTCTCTCTCTCTCTCTCTCTCTCTCAAGTGAGATTTGGAGTGCTTTAGTTCCATAGAAATTCAAACCAACATCAGTGGTTAAATTTGATGGGAGGAGCGACCCTAAGGATCACATTATCGCCATCAACACTCAGATGATGATCACGGGGTATTTGATTCATTTAGCTGCAAGCTCCTATACAACATTTTCAAGGAGGTGACCATAAGGTGATTCATGAGCCTCCTATTCCTTTTAGTAACTAACTATCAAGACCTTTCTAGGAAATTGGCCCACAAATTTTTAACGAGTAAACATTAGAAGGTGTTTACCACTAGTTTGTTATGTTCTCCAAGGACACTCCGAGTCGCTGAGAGAATGCCTTACTCGCTTCAATGAGGCAACCGTCAAGGTAATTCATCCAAACCAAGAAATATTCACGAGAGCATTTTAGAAAGGTTTGAGAGTCAAGCATTTCAGTGAATCTCTTGCCCAAAATCCATTGTCTCCATGAATGAAATCATGTCACGGGTTGAATGTTACATTAAGGGTGAAGTGGACAACATTGAGAAAAATACCAAAAATGTTTAGGAACGTGCCTCCGGCGTATCCGACTCGTTCTAACAGCATCGCAGAAGCAACTACACCACGCTTGTTAGAGACATGACAACTTTCAAGAAAAATGAAAGGCCCTCGTATAAATTCACATATCTCAACACCCTTCGTCAGAAAATGCGGCGTGAAGTGTTTCACACTCATGATATTTCACACTCATGATATTTCACCTTAGTCAGCCCCTAAGTCAAATACGATGTGGCCCGAACCTAATAGATGATGCAAGTACCACGGGGTAAAAGGTTATCACACTAATGACTGCTATCAACTTAAGAGGGAGACCGAGAAACTCATCTAAGGGAGCCATTTGAATAAATACCTCAAATGAGGCTCTTAAGAGGTTGAAGGAAACTTCATGACTTAGGGGTGATACCAGCCTAGAAGCCCGTGAGGTATAAGAAAGGCAAGGAACTTGAGAGAAGGGAAGAGGACAAAGGATCTGTCACACCCTAAATACTATACCTAGAGGATTCTATAAGGAAGGAGAATCTAGCTACTCCCGTAGGAGATATGCTCGCCGAGTTATAGCGGTAGAAGATTCACCCACTAAGCCTAAGGAGAATTTGGAGGATAATCTAGATCCTGAAATCTTTTTCTTTCAAAAATACGTCGTAGGAATCCTCCCTCATTTTTGCCTAACACCAATGATCATAAAAGTGCAATGTGTTGATTAGAAGATAAAACAAGTATTATAGATCCAAGAAGTTCATGTGATGTCCTGTGGAGGGACGCCTTTGATAGGATAAAGTTGAACCCAAACGAGCTTCGGTCTTTTAGAGGCTCTTTGATAGGCTTCTCTAGCAAACATATTTAAGTGAAAGGTTATATCACTCTCAAGGAAGTGTTCTAACTTAAGGATAATGCCAAAAATGGCCAAAGTCAGGTATCTCGTAGTAAATGTCACATCCTCATACAACGTGATCATTAGGTGTCTTGCCTTCAACCTCATGGGGGCACGCTATCTGCGGTCTACTTGAGCATAAATTATGTGTTGCCGAATGGGTGTGTCAACATGGTCCAAAGGGATTAAGAAATTTCCCAAAGATGTAATCAATATAGTTTAAAGGTCAGAATGGAGACTATAGAGGTCGTTTTCATGCCACATTCAGACATCAAAGAGGTTAATTTTCTAGATTTGGACCCAGTATAAAGCTTAAGAAGGTGATGCTCATGCCTACTGAGGATCTGGAAAAGGTTTAGATCGGGCCCTAGAAATTCCCCACTGTAAAATTAGGAGATTCTATGATAGAATCTGGGGAGGAAGACCCAGGGGCCCTCTGATATGCTTGGAATCGACACTAAGGTCGTGTGTCACACCTCGCCATCAGTAAAACTAGTAATGTAGAGAAAAGGCAAGGTTGGCAGGGAGAAATGAGCTACCATACACGAAGAGATAATAAAATTGAAGGAAATAAGTTTCATTATAGAAATCAAGTATCTGACCTTGGTGACAAATTTGGTGCTAAATGGAAAATGTGTATAGATTTCACCAATCTAAATATGGTTTGCCCTAAGGATCCATATCTGTTACCAAACATCGTCATATGGACATATGATCTTCAGGGTACAAAGCTATGAGTTTTATTGATGCCTATTGTGTTTAAAACCAAATAAAGATGGATCTATTGTGAAGGTGAGAAAATACTTAGAAGGGGGGGTTGAATAAGTATGACAGAAAATAATCAAAGATAAAAACACAAGTATTTTTATCCTGGTTCGTTGAACTCAACTACTCCAGTCCACCCTTTTCAAGAGTGATTTGCCTTTCTCAACAAGGACTTAATCCACTATTCAAATCAACTGATTACAAATAGCAACACCTAAGAACAACTGTTCTTAGTCTTCTCAAGAGCTACTGATCTAACCTAGATCCTCTTAAGGAAAACTTCCTTTACAAATTAATGTAATACAATGTAAGAGTAAGAAATGCTTCTATGAAAGCTATAAACACAACTGTGTTATTTCTCTAAGTTTAGAACAATGTATGAACAGCAAAGAATATGAGTGCTTGAGAGTTTCTTCGCTTGAGAGAAAGTTTTTTAAATTCGTCACTTGAAGAATGAGCTATGATATCCTTTATATAGCCACTTGAATATTGGAGAGAATATTTTACCGTTGGAGAAGATATTTCCAATATCAAATAGTACTGTCCTTTGTACTATTGCAGCAGAGAGACGACGCACAAAATGTGGGTGTAGCAATTGTCTGCTGAGCTGTGATTTTACCATATGTGGAATGTACCAGAGGAATAATATTCTTGCAGAGAATTTTGTCTATCCCAATTAAGGAAAGATTTGCTGGCATATTCCAACGGATATATTAAAATAATCTTCTTCAAATAATTCT